CCGCAGGGAGACCCGCGAGCGCCTCTCGGGCCACTGGGGGCTGCCGGTGGTGGCAACCCAGGTGCTGCTGATGGTGGCCCAGGTGCTGCTGGTGGTGGCCCAGCAGTCCTCCGGGTCCGGGCTGTCCCCCTGCGGACCTGCGAGGTGTGACAGCAGCTGCACCTGCCGGGCCTGAGGCAGTGTCGCCCAGCAGGGCCATGGCCGCGGCTGCTCGGCCCGGCCGCAGGCCGTGTCCTGCCTGTGCTGCTGCGGTCCGGGACACAGGGTTGCAGGCCCTGGTGCTAGGGGTGCCTGGATGGGACCAGGCTGCCTCAGGCTTATCCTGTGACCGAGGTCTGGAAACACTTTTGGATCCCTGTTGGGGGTGAGATGTGGAACAGGTGGGAAGAGCAAACCTGCTGGTTCGCAGAGGTGGCTCTGGAAATTATGGAGACACTTTGGTGTGAGATCGGTACTCTTGCTGTTTTATCAGTTTGGTGTTTTGAGAGCAGCAAATAGTGGATTTTTTTTGAAGTTGTCTGTAGTTTTTTTTAAAAAAGTTGTCAAAAGTTGGGAAAAGTTTGGTTTTTTTTTAGCACTACAGACTTTTGGGCACTTACCTTTAAATTCTCTAGGAAAAGTATTTCTGATGTTAGAATTGCTTCGTATACCTAGATAAGTATGACTCAGAATAGAGTAATATATTATTGTAGTATCAAGTGTTGGCCATTGTATGTGGCACCATGTAATTTTGGAGACTAGTGTTTGTTTCCCTCTGAAAATATGAACTTTGGTCAGTGCCGCCTTGTGTTTGTGTTTTGGTGCTCTTCAGTTAGCAAGCAAGTGGAAGTGGTTGGCTTTTAACTAGATGTATTGTCTTTTGCCCATCTCGTTGACTAGTCAGTGTATGCTTGTCTCCCAGATGAATATGTCAATAATTACTAATAGTCTGATTGCAATTCCTTTCTTTTGCTTTCTTGGGACTCTTTTGGTAAAAGACCCAAGAATGTTTTCTGTAAAGGCATAGGGTTTTTTGTTTGAAGTAGAGAAAATGCATGTTATCTAAGCCTGCATTATTGCAGATTTTTTTTTTTAACAATCTGGTTGTTGAGCAGAGAAGGCCATCAATGGCACTGACAACATAGCTTGGCTGAAATCTAAGTATTGATCAGATGATTTCATGAGCATATTTATCTCAATGATCTGCTTCTCACACAACACAGTGCACATAGGTAAAACTAAAATCTGCAGAATTTTGAAAACAAGTTGTTTTTTTTAAAAAAAAAAAAAAAAAATCCAGAAAGTTTTTCCCTGATGAGTTGTGTTCCCTTTGGTTGCCTTAACCAGTAGTGGCTCTTCCTGGGCATGTGACCTGTGAAATCTTTTGCCTGTGACACTAACTTAGAACCTTTGAAATTACTTTACCTCTAAGAGTTTGCTTTCAGAATTATGGAAAACTAGGGATATTGTGATTAAAATAATTTCTAAAATATGTTGCTTAACCCAAACTTTTTGTATGAGGGAGGTGACATCTAGCCCAACCTTACAAAATGTGTTGGGAATATTCCTTGGGTCCAGAAATGCAGGTCAAAAGAAAGAAAAATTCATTGCAAAAGAGCCAGGAGTAGAAGTGCATACTTTAAGATGTGCCATGCAAGGACTTAACTTGGGTTTTTATTTGTCTATATCTGTAGATTTTCATGTGATACTATGAAAGCTTTTGGTTTTGCATCTATGCACAAACTGGCTATTTCTATCACAGAATCTAAAGTATGGGGAAAGAATTGCCTGTAATAGCTTGTAATATGAAACTGTTAAAGGGACACATAACCTCCAGAGGATTGTTATATACTTGATGCATACCTGTTTCAAGGATACTTTGAGGGAGAAAGTCTCTCTGTTTTTTTGGTTTTTTTTTTTCCTTCTAATTCCTCACTATCATTGCTTGTTAACTACAATTATTTTAAAGATTATATTAAAGTTGTCAGGTGAAGTATTCTGACATTAGCAAACAGTAAAATTGTGCTGCTGAATAGTCATAAATCAGCTTTAGTTCATGCAGAGTGACAACAACTCAATGACATTACTTAACACTGTTATATTAAGTACAGCAAAATACTTTTGTTGTTTTTATTGCCTCCCGAACTTCCTTGACTGTTTTCCAGCCAAAGTGCAGAGCGACCGATTGCGGGTAGAAATACCAGCCAGCCTTTCCTCGTTCCAGGCCTTTGGAGCAGAGCGTGCACAAACATCCGCCTGGGCAATAAGTCACCCGCTGTGTTCGGCAATCTGTTTGCGCTGCGATGCAGCCAGCAAACCTGGGCTTGGTCCTCGTCCCTGTAGCCCTGTCCTTTGGTGGCGGGTGGACGGCAGGTCCTCCCTTGCTTTTCAATGCCCAACCTCCATTGCCGAGGGCTTCCCCAGCGGGGAGGTGCTTTGCCAAACAGTTGCTGTCAGAAAAATAAGTGTAAATAAGCTGAATAACACACCCCCAACCATGCCTTTCTCCATAGCGTGCCATAGTGTGGTCGGTCTTACAGGGTGGGTGGGCAGTAGGCTGGAGATGCTCAGAGCTGACCTTCCCTGAGTCAGACATCGTCACTGAGATCTGGCTTGTAAAGAAGTGTGAAGAGTTGCGGCTGTGCTCTGAAATAGTCTGGGAATTAGCATGGTAAATTTATAATATGTACATATGTAATATAATGAGCACTACCATCATTGAAACTGCCTCAAGCTTTATTTTCACTTAGCTTTAGAATGCATAGGTGACTCCTGTGACACATTTTTTTTTAATAAAATACTCCATCTGCATAGCTTTATTTTTTTACTTCAGCAAGCTGCTGTTTGCTGCGCTGCTCTTTGCCCTGTGCTCTTTCTTGTGTGCTTAATCCGTGTGTGCAGATAAGCTGCCCTTGCCTGCTGTGGACAGAAGCTTCATGCTCTGCGTTACCTCCAAGGTGGGAGGGAGGGTTTCCTGGGGCCTGACTGCCCTGGGCACTGACCTTCAG